ACTCTTGGCAGTGCTCAGGGGACCATAGAGAGAAGGGAGAGGGTGTCACAGTGGTCAGCCCCAGGAACAGCAGGGAAGGGACCCGCTCCTGTTAACCACTTGTTGACTGGTTGTCTAGCCTTAAACTTCTCTGAGTTCAATGTCACCATCTCTACTTGATAGGGACACAGCCTCTGTAATTCACCCTGAAGAAGCTAGTTTGGAAAGAGAAAGACTACATTGAAAATGCCTTTAGAAGGGTGTTGTGAAGACCTTCCCAGGGTGGTAGAGACATGCTAAAAGTAGTCTATAGACCAAACATGATTGCCACTCAATGCCTTTCTTGCAAAACACAGTACCCAAAAGAAGAGAGAGAGAACAAGGGGGAACAGAGACAGGGTGGGATGGGGGAGATGGGGGGTGGGAGGGATGCTGGGACCCGTGGTGGGGGAGGATGGGCACTCGTGGAGGGATGGGTACTTGATCATAGTATAACTGAAACCCAAGAACAAAAATTTATAAGTCTATAACTGTACCTCATGGTGTTTCACTAATAAAAAAAAATGATTAAAAAAAAAAAAAAGAAAATGCCTTTAGATCCAGAAACCCATACAACTGATCTTATGGGTCTTGAGTCTGTTAGTTTTATCAGCATGAGGGGAAGAACTTTTTCAAGGGTCATAGAGGTCATTGAAATCTCAGTATACTAGTAATTCATATAGATCCAAAATAGGAAAACTTTAAATGCTTAATCCATTGTAGAACTTAACATCAGGCGAGGGTTTTTTCCCCCCCCTCTTTGGAAGAATTCCTGTTAGGCATATACCTAAATTGTTTGTTTATTTATTTATTTGGCTTTTTGGATCACAACCACCAATGCTCAGGGGTTACTCCTGGCTCTGCACTCAGGAATTACTCCTGGCGGTGTTCAGGGGACCATATGGATCGAACCTGGGTCAGCCACATGTAAGGCAAACACCCTACCTGCAATACTATTGCTCCAGCCCCTAAATTATAGCATGCATATGCTCATGCATGCTGTATATATGGGTCACTGTCACTGTCCTCCCGTTGTTCATCAATCTGCTCGAACAGGCCCAGTAACATCTCCATTTTTAGACTTGTTGTTACTGTGTTTGGTATACTGAATACGTCACGGGTAGCTTGTCAGGCTTTGCCATGCGGGCGAGATACTCTCGGTAGCTTGCTAGGCTCTCCGATAGGGGCAGAGGAATCGAACCTGGCTGGCTGCACGCAAGGCAAATGCCCTCCCGCTGTGCTAATAAAACATTGAAAGGCACCTAATCTGCAGTAATTTCTTTAATCTTCAGGAAAGCAATGCTGTCCTCCTTACTTGGTTGCTGAGGACATGAAGGCCCAGCCGGGCTGCTCGCCCTCACTTAGCAAGCAACAGATTAGAAGAACCTGAGCCCGAATCCCCTGGCCACTATTACCCTTAAAGCTGGTCCAGTCTTGGCCAAGGAATGGAATACAGAGATGAGCGGCTGAGAGGAAAACTTTGGGGATGCATCTTCCAATGCAGTGAGGGAAGAACAGAAAGCCAGTGGGTTAAGGGGCTGCAGAGATGGACACAAGCTGGGGCTTTGCTGCTCACCGGCTCAAAGTGGCGAAGGCCTCAGGGCCTGAATTTGCAGGATAGACCAGGGGTGTCCTGAGGTTCTGAGTAGGCAAACATGTCTGTCCTTGGGGAAACTGTTTCCTGGGGAAAATCCGATTCCAGACTGTGCCGACAGGGATGCTAGAGGCGAAGGAATAGAAGGAAAAAATATCTACACACACACACATACACACACACACACACACACACACACACACACACTCCTTTCTCTTCCTGTCTCCATGGGTCGAACTCTGCTGTCATTTCCTAACTTGTCACCTTCGACTTCTGCTTCTTGGGGATGTGGACATGAGGCTTAGAGGAGCAGGACTCCGCTTCCCCTCCCCCATGCCTGCAATCAAGGAACCTTCTATGAGGCCCCTTGCTCTCCAGACTGAAGTTCCACCTTCCCTGCTGTAGGATGAAAGAAATGGGGTAGAGGAGGGAGCAGGTTGAGGGGACAGCATGCTGCCCGCTCTCTCTCAGCTCCAAGGCTCGGTGTTGGGATGGTTGGGTTCTTTCCTGCCTCTCCCTTAGCGCCTGGTGTTGGCCCACAAGGTTCAGGGATGGTCCTGTTGAATCTCTGCTTACACTTTCTCAGAATATCCTCCTCTTTGTAGTTACAACAGGTAATGCAGAAATGCAAATGATTATACAAGAATACTCTGCACAACTTTATGCCACAGAGTTGATGAACCTTAGAAGAAAATGACAAATGTTTTGAATCCTAAAACTTCCTAATACAAATTCAGGAGGAAATAGAACACACCAATTACTCACGCAGAGATTGGAACAATAATCAAAAGTCTCCCCCAAAATAAAAGACCGGGCCCAGATAGGATCACAACTGATCACAAGCTTCCACACCTTCAAGGTGGGCCTACTTCCTAAGGACTCACCCAGAAAATTGAAGAAACAAGAATTCTCCCAAGTTGAACCCAATGTTACCCTGATACCTCAAATAGGAAGAGACATTCCTAAAAAGGACAGTTATAGACCATTATCCCTGATGAACACAGACACAGAGATCCTCAACAAAATCTTAGTGAACAAGACTTAATAATATATTGAAAGTAACTTATGCTATGATCAAGTGGGAATTAACCCACTTAAGGAATGCAAGGTTGGTTCAGTATATGCAACTCAATAAATGTAACACACCATAGTGATTTAAGGAGAGATAAAAGTCATGTTATCAGATAAGTAGAAACAGATGAAAAACAATGTCCCTTTATGATAAAAACTCAACAAAATGGACTTAGAAGGAATTTAGCTCAAGATACTAAGACTATGTATCACAGACCCGCGCGTAACATCATATTCTAGTGAAAAACTGAAAGCCTTTTTTCTAAGATCCATCACAAAGCAAAGACACTCTTACCTGATTATTCAGCATAGAATTGGAAGTTGTTGCCACAGAAGTTAGGCAAGAAAAATATTAGAAAAGGTAAAGGCCCTCCCGTTGATCGTCGACTTGTTCAAGCGGGCCCAGTAATGTCTCCATTGGAGACTTTGTTGTTACTGTGTTTGGCATATCGAATACGTCACGGGGAGCTTGCCAGGCTCTGCCGTGCGGGCGAGATACTCTCGGTAGCTTGCCGGGCTCTCCGAGAGGGGCGGAGGAATTGAACTAGGTTCGACCATGTTGGCCGCTTGTAAGGCAAACGCCCTACCACTGTGCTATTGCTCCAGCTCCCAAGAAAAATATTAAGAGATCCAAATTAGAAAAGAAATTAAAATATCACTATTTGCTCATAATATATGTGGTAAACTCTAAAACTCCACCAAAAAACTCCTAGGAACGAAAAGCCTATACTGTAAAGAAGCAGGCCACAGAATCAATATGCAGAAATTCATTGTGTTTCTATATGCAAGTAGGTAAAACAGAAATTTTCTTGCTTTCCCTTTCGCACTTGCACTTAAAAAGGTCAAGTGTCTGGGAATCAAGAAAAGAGGTGAAAGATTTTCACAAAGAAAACTGTAGACACTAAGAAAATAGACACAGAAACTTGAAACATGTTTCTTGTTTGTGAACTGACGAACATGTTTGAAACATGTTTTTTTGGCTGAACTGACTTTGTTTCTTGGCTGAACCGACGTTAAAATGACCATCCCACACCCAAAGCACTGTACAGACTAAATGCAGCTCCCAGCAAAATTCCATGTATACCCCCATGTGGTATCAGACACAATCGGAACGGCATCGTAACACACCAAGCTTAGTAACTTAAAATAATAACCTGAAGTCCTGACTGGTACTAACCAAGTCTATAACTTCTCAGAAAAAGACGTTAGGGGATAGGGAGATAGGACAGTGAATAGGATGCTTGCCTTGTATGCAGCAGGTATGGGCTTGATCCCCACGTAGTCTAGTCCCCTGAACCCCACCAGGAGTGATCCCTAATGACAGCCTGGAGTAATCCTTGTTTACATGGTCTGGAGAGATAGTACACAGGCACTTGAAGTATATGGCACTTGCCTTGCATGTTCCCAGCCTGTGTTCAATCTTGCGGCATTCCAAATATTCCCTCAAACACTGCCAGGTGTTATCTGAACATCACCAAGTGTCACCCAAAAACCTAAAAAGAAAGAAAGAAAGAAAGAAAGAAAGAAAGAAAGAAAGAAAATTCCATGGAATTCTTTGGAACATGGAATAAGGAAACTCCCCAAATAGTCAAAACAGCCCTAGGAGTGGGGTGAGGGTGGAGGGGAAAATAGGAAAAAATTTTTTCCTGACTTTTTTATTCTGTAAAGCTATAGTAATCCAATTTGAGCACCTACTGAGGAGCACAAAATCATTGAAGTATTTAAAGGGAATGAGCAGTGGCCAGTAACAGGCTGAAAGACTACCAGTAGAACTGAGTTGAGTGTGTGCAGGGCTCTGGGTTGGGGGGATGGCAGGAGCCTTAGGGACAGTGGTGAGGGGTGCTGACATGGTTGATGCATCTGGGAGCCCAACCTTGGCTTTCTGAAACCCTGATAATAGTTTTGTAAGCCACAATGCTCAGATTAAAAAAAAAAAATTCTCCCATTTCTGTCTCTTCTTCTCTACCATGTAGCGTCCAGCCTGTGCTCTTTTGAACTTTCTGGCATCTTCAAGACCCTCTTTCCAACACGTTCATATCCAACTCATCTCTTGGCGACTCATTTGTGCCCTGATCCGTCAATTCTGTTGGTTCCCATCAGTGACGGAAGTGTCCAGCACTTTGATGTTGACACTAAGGGTTTTGGAGGCTGGGGTACAAGCGTGGTCTTTGGGTTGGTGAGTCCTTGGGTCCGCTCACCAGGTCAGTCTCATCTGGAGACTGGCAGCAGATTGTCTCAGCTGATGGCAAAGGTGACCCTCTTGCCTCATGTGTCCACGCGTGACTCCCCGACTGAATCTTTGCTTTGCTCTTTGCAGAAGCGGATCCAGCCATGGCCACTCCCTCCGCTGCCTTTGAGGCCCTGATGAATGGAGTGACGAGCTGGGATGTGCCCGAGGATGCCACCCCCTGCGAGCTGCTGCTCATCGGCGAGGCGGCCTTCCCGGTGATGGTGAATGACATGGGGCAGGTGCTGATCGCGGCCTCGTCCTACGGCCGAGGCCGCCTGGTGGTGGTGTCCCACGAGGACTACCTGGTGGAGACCCAGCTCTCGCCCTTTCTCCTCAATGCTGTGGGCTGGCTCTGCTCCTCCGCTGGGGCTCCGATCGGGGTGCACCCTTCCCTGGCACCCCTGGCCAAAATCCTCGAGGGTGCCGGCTTGGAGGCGAAGATCGAGTCAGAAGTGAACGACTCCCTCGGGGTTTACTGCATCGACGCCTACCATGAAACCATGACGGAGAAGTTGGTCCAGTTCATGAAACGCGGTGGCGGCTTGCTCGTGGGCGGCCAGGCGTGGGACTGGGCCAACCAGGGCGACGACGAGAGGGTTCTCTTTACGTTTCCGGGCAACCTGGTGACCAGCGTGGCCGGCGTGTACTTCACCGATAACAAAGGGGACACGAGTTTCTTTAAAGTGTCCAAGAAGATGCCCAAGATCCCAGTCCTGGTTAGGTGAGTGCCTTGCCCCAGGGGTGTTGATCTCTGGTCACTTGGTTCACGTGGTGCTTGTCCTCTAGTTGTTCTCAAACCCAGGAGGAGGGACAGAGCAATAGTACAGTGGGTGGGGCGTTTGTCTTGCACGTGGCTGACCCGGGTTCAATTCCTGGCATCCTATATGGTCCCCCAAGCACCGCCAGGAGTGATTTCTGAGTACAGAGCCAGGAGTAACCCCTGAGCATCACTGGGTGTGACCCCAAAATCATAAAAAAGCAAAAACCAACCAAACAAACAAAACCCAGGAGGGAACATGGCACCCAGGCACGAAGCCATCCCAAATCAGCATCATTGCTGCTATCTGCTCAGACTAGACCGAATTACTAAGAAGCATCTGGCTCTTTGAGGGATGGGGGATCAACCCCCAAGCCCATTCCCTAGCATCTAGCTTAATGCAATATATTGGCAGGCCCAAGCGTTAGCATTGTTAATGCAAAGGGAAGATCACAGGTTACTTTCAGAAGGTCATTTTTGGTTGTAAGGCGAGGTATATTTCCAACAGGAACCTCTTAAGGTAAAGTCTCAAGAGCTGTGGGGAAAGTTCTGAAGTGTCCAGCCAGATGGGATCAGTAAAGAAGCCAGAAATCAGGATGCTGGGGGCTGGAACAGGAGGAAAGTGGGGAGAGCCCTTGCCTTGCACATAGCCGATCCAGGTTTGATCCCCTACGCCCCAGATAGTCTCCTGAGTACCGCCTGGCGTGATTCCTGAGCACAGAATCAGGAGTAAGTCATGAGCATCACTGGGTTTGATCCCAAATAAACAAAAAGTCAGAGGATGCAGAAGTTTGAGAGAGCAGAAAGAATGGCACAAGTTGTAGTTTGCGAAATTTGTGAGGCTGAAAGCGGTTTTGTTTCTGGGCTCAGAAGACCAGGTGATTGAGGAGGAAGGAGGCAGCTGTTGGTGCCATTGTGGAGTCTGGGGCCGACCCTGAAAGTTCTCTCACAGTGTTTTCCCATTTATTTGTTTCAAACCGTTCTTGGGCATGACATAGGACACTGGAAACAGCTGACTAGTCCTGGCTCGGCCAACGGCTGATGGATGTCTAATTTGGATGGATGGATGATTGGATGAGAGAGATTAGAAGCTACAGTAGTACCAGGAGTGGAAAAAGCATAGCGCATCTTGCTCTGTATCAGAGATGAAGACTCAGCATCCTTGATAATGAGCACTGACCTTTACGACTAGTGGGGTGAGAGTCAGGTGGGGTTGGCTGAGAAAGACATAACAGAGGCAGTGGAGACATATAGGGCATGAACATGAACCGCAGACTTGCTTTGGCATGGAACTTCTGGAACCTACGTCTTCATCTTCATGTGTGCAATGAGGAAAGCATGGTGCTTGAGAGTCATAGTAAGTGATCTTACACTGAACACACTTACCAGTGATTTTGCTCAGAAGGATGGTAAGACGAGGCTACAAGTCTTATTTCTTAACAGCCTAATTCCCCTTAGTTGTCCTCAGAGATGGTTCTTGACCAAACCGGACCTCCTCTTTTGTTTGGCACACGAATTATTTCTCACCACTGAATCTGAACTTGGGAGGAAACTTGTGTGTGTGTGTGTGTGTGTCTGTGTGTGTGTGTGTCTGTGGGCACACACACACGTGCGTATGTGTGTGGTGTGTACACGTGTATGTGTGAAATTAACCTGAAGCCTAAGCATTAAGGGAAAATCACACTTAAAGGAAGCACATGAACCTACTGTGCATAATAGGTAATCGTAGCAATGCTTGCTAGGTAAGATTGCATCAAGCTCTTGGCTGCTTCTGCAAGTAGGTATATCCTAATTTTACCTGTATATTATCAGAAGGAAGATTTTCTGCCTTGTGAAATTAACGATGCCAACCTTATTAGGATTTGGAGCTAATTGGTTGAGATGAAGTAAGGGAATAAAAGTAAATGGTGCAAGAGAGTTGTGTATCTGTGTATATGAATGTGTAATAGAAAGATGTGACATTCATATATATGTGTATAAAATACATCTAACAGGGATGTGCCTATGTGTGTGTATATATATGCATAAATGCTTCTTAAATCTTTGGGCAGGTAGAAGAGGAAACATATCCTCCCCTCCCCCCCACAGCTTTCTTACAATAAGCTCTCAAGTACTTAATGCAGAAAGATAAATATTGAGTTATCCTTATGCTCCCCAATATGTTAGTAGTTACCAAAATATATATTTATCAACACTCATTACTGTGTACGGCAATTGAGTAAAATTTTACTCACTGAAAGAAATCTTAGTAAACTTAAAAATAGCTATTTTTAATAAGGATATTAAAAATAATCAGATGTAATCAAATTCATGTATAAGGATATGCAGTTAGCATTTTTTGTATACAGTTGATTACATCAGATCAATAAATTATGGAGTTTTTAAACAATCATTAAAATTATGCTTTTAGAAATATGCTAGAACATGGAGAAGATATTTGGGGGAAAGAGAATTCTGTTAAATAAAATATACAACTAGCTGCATAAATATAAATATATAGAAAATGTATTAGGTCAAATATCAGTGACTGATAGACTTCTAGGTCATGGAATAACAGTGGATGAGCACTGCTTTAAGACATTTTTTTCCTGAACTTTCTATCAGATTTTATTATTAGACATATATATTTTATCTCACATCATACGCAAGAATATTAAAAGGAAAATAACTCAGATATTCATCTTATTAGAGAGCCACATACATGCAACATATTGATCCTTTTTATCATATAAGCAGAAAATTTGAAAAAATTCTGACTACTGAGTTTGCTTTATTTCTCTTTCCTTTCTAATATCTGAGATATATCCATATGTAAGCACATATTTAGCATATTATGTCAATATTTAGCATATTTATGTCAATACTTTTAACTGTTACTCTTCCTCATAGAATATTCATTTACTTTTTCCAATAATGCAGCATCTTAGTTTTGAATTTTCACTTCAAAAAGTTTTTAACGTTATCATGAACCCATTTTACAGCTCTTGATTTCTGCATGGTATTTTACCCGATCATAGCTTGTCACTGCCTAGTACATAATATTTTGAATTCTGCTCTTCCCTATTTTTTATTTGCATTATATTTAAAGGGCTGGAGCGATAGCACAGCGGGTAGGGCGTCTGCCTTACACGCGGCCAACATGGCCGACCCGAGTTCGATTCCTCTGCCCCTCTCGGAGAGCCCGGCAAGCTACCGAGAGTATTCGATATGCCAGACACAGTAACAACAAAAGTCTCCAATGGAGACGTTACTGGGCCCGCTCGAGCAAATCGACGATCAACCTGAGGGCCTTTACCTTTTACCTTTACCTTTATATTTAAAGTGGCCTTTGAGTCCCTTGTGGACTGCCATGTGCATGCCCTAATTAATCATGTGCTGATCTCATCTCTCATTATAATACTGAATAAAATATCCTCAAGGCCTTTTAGAAATATTAGACAATCCAAGGTGGAGTTACCAGAATTCAAGAAGGAAGATTATTTACACCGTATGCTAAACAAAGCTTGCAAGCCCCTGTGGGTTTAGTCAGTGTCCTGTTATTCACTGCTAAACATGCCTTTGAGTGACACGGATTGTGAGTTAAGACACTTCTCGCTTCGTTTCTTGCTAAGCTCTCACTGCGGTTGTGCGACCTCTCAACATTCTCCCAGTGTGAAGTGTCTGCAGACTCTGATCAAGATGAATCAAATTTCTCTCATAAGAAGTTACGACTTTTGTGATTAGAAAAACAAAACCCTCCGTATTAAAAAACTGGATAATCTACTTCTAGTCTGGTGACAACAGTCCAAGCTGGTGGGACAGGCCACTCCCAGCCTCTCCCCCTGCTCCTGTAGCCTGTAGTGCATGGCCACATGCACTTAGAATACTCACCTCCGTGTCATCCATTTGACCAATGCTCACTGTCCTTCCGGGGCCCATGTCTGCTCTCTCATCAGCTCTGTCCCCATATGCCTGAGCATCAAAAGCAGAGTCAGTGTCCCATGCTTCCCCCCCCCCAGTGTTTTGTTTTTGAATTTATTTTTGTTAAGACACCGTGATATCCAAAGTTGCGCATAATACAGTTGTGTCAGGCAGACAATGTCCCAACACTTAGCCCGCCACCGGTGTGACCCGCCCTCCACCAGTTTTCCCCGCTTCTTTCCCATCCTTCCAGTCCACCCTCTTGGCAGGCAAGTCACAAATTTTTTTCATATTCCTTGCTCCAACAAAAGCTAAAGGCATGGCAAATGGAATTATCGGAAAGTACATCAATAAAAGTCAAGTTGTGATGATTGGGATGTGATTTAACCCAGGTAAAGGAAGGAATTCAAATCATTCAATAAATATAATGCAATGCCTGTTCTCATTTACATAAATATGTTTCCAGCCCTGGCATCTAAAGCAGATTGCATTCAATATTTTATTTGAACAGACACACTGGGTCCTTTGTTAGAGCTGCTGGCAGCCTCCTGAGTGCAGATTCAGGAGTAGTGTTGCTGGCGAAGGAATTCAGCAGAGGGCAGCCCTCAGAAAGTTCCCCGGCTCTGTTTTCAAACCAGCCTCTCTGTGCCTTCTTTCTAAAGTGGGACTGACAGTGATTGCCTTGCAGCAGGGCGGTTGTGAGGAGTTACTGAATGAAGAAACTGTGCTAGATCACCCCGAGCCCATCATCAGGTTGATATCCAACTCCATATCATGGTATGGTCCAGTAAATTTCATTACTATTCACTGAGGACTGCTTGAGCACAGCTGTCCTGTTATGCCTTGCCTTCGTCCCCAACCAACCCCACCCCCACCCCCACCACCACCCAAATCTTGTCTGTTGTTCCAGTTGAATGAGGATTGACATCTTAACTGGTACTTGTTTCCTTTCACCAACCTGGACCTGTGGCAGTACAGCAGATAAGCACAGTGAACTGTCTTTCTAAGTCCAACATAGCCGGCCTTGGAGGTTGAGTTCTTTCCACCAAATCAAAGAGTCAAGA